AGTGAGGAATCCCAGCCGCGAGTCCACCTGACAGGTGTCCCCCCCGCCAACTGCAGTGAGGAATCCCAGCCCCGAGTCCTCCTGACAGGTGACCCCCTGACTACAGTGAGGAATCTCAGCCCTGAGTCCTCCTGACAGGTGCCCCCCTGACTGCAGTGAGGAATCTCAGCCCTGAATCCACCTGACAGGTGCCCCCCACCCCCCTGCTCCCGACTGTACTGAGGAATCTCAGCCCTGAGTCCACCTGACAGGTGCCCCCCTGACTATACTGAGGAATCTCAGCCCTGAGTCCACCTGACAGGTGCCCCCCGGGCTGCAGTAAGGAGTCCCAGCCGGGCACTTGGTTTGTCATGCTGAGGCGGCATCTCTTTTTTTCCCCAGCCTGGATGTTCGGGGACCCCCACATCACCACCTTGGATGGTGTCAATTACACCTTCAATGGGCTGGGGGACTTCCTGCTGGTCGGGGCCCAGGACGGGAACTCCTCCTTCCTGCTGCAGGGCCGCACGGCCCAGACTGGCTCAGCCCAGGCCACCAACTTCATCGCCTTTGCGGCTCAGTACCGCTCTGGCAGCCTGGGCCCCGTGACGGTGAGTGAGGGGCGCGGGGACCTCCCTGCATTGCATGCACAGGGACCTTCAGCCACACACTGAGGCTAAGGAGAAGGAAGACAGCGAAGAAGACAAGCCGGGCAGGAGGGGGGGAGCCACGCCCCATCCGCGCAGCTGTCCCGGAGTAAATCCTGGGGATGGGGGATTACGGCTCTGGCGCCACGGTTTCCCAGCTGTTTGGCTTCGAAGAAACTAGTTAACTTGGTTTTCTCCTGGTAAGAATGGGGATAACATGACTTGCCTCACGGGCTGTTGTGAGAGCTAAAGGGGATCATCCGAAAACCATGCCTGGCCCTGCGGAGCACACGGTAGACGGGGCTGGCGTCACCTTCCTCCAGGCCCAGGGCGCAGCTTCCAGCCCCGGGGGCTCTCCCAGCCGCTCTCCTGGGCGTCGGCTCCACCTGCGGGTCGGGCTCAGACCCCTTCCCATCTCCTTCCAGGTCCAATGGCTCCTTGAGCCTCATGATGGAATCCATGTCCTGCTGGATAACCAGACTGTGACATTTGAGCCTGGCCATGGAGACGGCGGAGGTGGGCGGG